ACTTACGGTGCCTACTGCTCGCTTGACTCAATTACCTCTATGTTCAGTCTAGCTATCTATGCCCTTATATGCTAAAAAAGAGGGCGTCTAGCAAATACTGGGATATTCGTGAGGTTCCCCGATAAGTCATGATCCATCTAGCAACTCCAGCGCGCATGCTCCCAGCGTCGCATGACTTCCGCTGTTGTAACAATACTTAATTCTTTAAATTACAGAAAACACCATAACCCTTGAAAGTAAAATAAAAATAAATATTATTGTTGGGACTGAAACATGTGTTTGTTTTTAATGTAAACATTAAATATTGAAAGTATTTTTCAAAATATATAAATATATAATTTTCTGTAATTAATTTCTTTCATTTTTTCCCATTTCAATGAGCTTTTTTTTTTGTTGTTGTTGTTATTTTACTTAAGTAAAGGTTTACATTTCGAAGTTGTTTCTCTTCTACACGTACAGAGTACCAAGCAGTTCTTCAACAAATAAGGTCAGTGTTAGGCCTAAATTTATAATAATATTTAATCAAACTATGTCCCTGCTGTATGCACCACATTCTAAAGGACAAACATTAAAAATGTGAATAAATAGATCATTTGTTCTGTTTTCATTTTCAAAAATAAACATTTTAACTTGCTGTTCTCAGTGTGGATTATTTTCTTCTACATGTCATAATTTCAGAGTCGTAAGTCGGAAATAATCAATAATACCATAGGCTATTTATTTCAATTTTTGTCCAATACTAAAAACCTTAATTTAGTTGACGATAGATGGCTCTCATAATAGTTTTCCAATATATACGAAATATATCATAAATTTCATGTTTATAAATTTTGAAATTAAAATCACATTCTTTGGGTTTCGCTGAAATATATTTATTTTTAATACCAATACTTTTATTCCTCTGTTTTATTGTTTTGTGTATATTATAGTGAGTGATTAAACATATTCCTGGATAGATTTATCAACTTGTTTGCCACTGATGTAAGCAAATTAAGCATGCAGGTGTATTGAAGAGTAGGGTTTATGTTACCTACTATGATCCTTACTAACCGATAAAAAATACATCAGCTATAGTGTTAGGTATCACTGAAAAGTCTCTAATATCAAAATTATTTTAAAAGTTATTACCGTATTGGCCCGATTATAGGGTGACCTCAAATTTAAGGCGACCCCCACTTTCAGAAACCATGGGGGAAAATTGATATCATAAAGTAATTTTTTAGGTCCGCAAAATCAATACTATAACTGAACAGCCTGTAGATGTATTAGTTGCAAGAATTAGCGAACATTTGGCGTGCATGCATAGACGGATGCTATCTGAACATTCAAGAATGCGACAGGTTAGAGTAGGGGAGACGAGGCCTGTGATAGGCCGCGATTATAGGCGACTATGAATATTACAGGCTAATTATTAATCAAAAAACATCGCCTTATAATCGGACCAATACGGTATATCGTACTTTTTGATAAGATTGAAAAAAACATTTTACTGTTGCTATTACAGTTGCAAAGAAAATATTGTGGAATTACTGTTTGTTTGTTTGTAGTTATGCACAAAGCTACACAATGGGCTATCTGTGCTCTGTCCATCCGCAGACATACCGCTGTGCCACTGGGGGGGTGGGTGGAATTACTGTCCAAAATATATAAGATTAAAATATATTTCCAAACAGCAAAACTCAGCTTAAAAAAGAACTTAAAATCATGCTAATAATGGACAACAAAAATCAACAACCCCGCTTGGAATTATGCATCAGCGCCCTCATGTGGCAATATGCTGCTCTTTCTTTAACAATGAAAAGATATAAAATAATTTTTCTTCTAAGTGGTGTTCAAATCGGTGTAGGGTCTTGTAGAAAAGTAGGCACTCTAAATATTTCGTGTTTCAGGCTAAGTAACGTTATAGGTTTTATTTTTAATTCATTCAAAAAATTATGAACTTCAATAACATTATATATGTATGAAATTTAAATTTTAAACAACTGATTTTACATTTTCCACAGCATTTACTCATTTGCACCAACAGTT